AAGTGACACAGTTAAATGCCTGCACAGAAATCTCATGGAATTTATAAAAAGCCTTTAGAGAAGCCTGGGAGTCCATCGATGCAGAAAGCTTCAAGCTCACTATAACAAATTAATCCATTTCATATGGTGGCTACACAAAATCAGAAATTGAAATAAAAGTGTCTTCCTGAGTGGCATCAAAATACGAAATTTTGATAGCTGGCCATGGTGGTGTTCTAGTTTTCTTTCTACTACTGTGATAAAACACTCTGACCAAAAGCAACGGAGGGCAGGAAACGGTTGATTTCCCTTACACTTCCAGGTCACAGTCCATCATGGAGGGAAGTTAGGGGAAGAACTCAAGTCAGAGCTTGAAGCAGAAACTGTGGAAAGGATTTGCTGCCTCACTGGAAGGGTCATGCTTGGCTGGCTTTTTGTGCAGAACAGGACCACTTGCTTAGGGAATGTGCCGCCCACTGTGGGCTGGGATCTCCTGCATCAATTATCAAGACAACATCCACAGACATGCCTCCTAGCCAATGTGCTTTGTGCAGTCCCTCAATTAACTGAGAGCTCCTTCTCAGGTGAGTCTGGACTGTGTTGAGGTGACAATTAAAGTTAACTAGGGCAGTGGACATGTGGGCAGGCAATGGTGATCAGCTTCAAATAGCTGAGACAGGGAGACCATGAATCTGAAGCCAGCTTGAGCCATACCTTCTCAAGCCAACCAGCAAATGAATGTGTGCCTGTGTGTGTGTGTGAAATCACACATATTAATTAAGAATAAATCTTATACAATAGTTTCATGTCCCAGGCACTGAAAACTACAAGTCGCAGTTGAGAAAAATCAAAGAAGATCTAGAAAGAAAGAAAGAAAGAAAGAAAGAAAGAAAGAAAGAAAGAAAGGAAGGAAGGAAGGAAGGAAGGAAGGAAGGAAGAAAGAAAGAAAGAAATGGAAGGGTGAATTGTATCTATATGTTGGATTAAACCTAAACATTTGTTCATGAAGTTTACTCTCCCCGAACTGATGGATAGATATATGTTCATGGCAGCCCCAGTCAAAACCTAGACGTTGACCAGGTGAACCTAAGTTCAAATGATGTGCAAATGAGCTATAATAGCCCAACAAGCTCTGAAAACAACACCTGAGGGCTTTCTCAAATCTTAAGGTCCGCTACACACTCATAGCAATCAAGGAGCCATGCTCTTCCACCCTGGCTACCTTGTGTGTGGTGGAGGCAGTCTTATAGAACTCCCTGCTGTCTTCTTGAATCCTTACAAGGAGCCACCACAAGGCCATTCGCCCCACTAATGGCAATCGGTGGGTGTGGCAGGTTCCTGTCTGAGGAGCTGTGGGGCTTCTTTCCTCACTCCTCACAGGTCAGAGCTAGACACGAAGCTGCTCAGCGGAAGGAAGTTCAGCTCTGGTTGCTTGCAGCAGCTATCCTTCCGCTCACATTGCTGTCATCCACCTCTTGGGTCTGGGGTAAGATGAGGAAGGCATCGTCACCCGAGAGAGCTCTTCCTCTCAATGTACATGTAACAAAATGGCTCATTACATTACGACCTGTTAAACCAGGAAGACTGTGTCTTATCTTGTGTGTGCTTGACAAGAAAGTCTAGAAATCACGCCAGGTATGAACAGCCAGTTGATGTGTGTATGTGTGTGTGATTGTTTGTGGAGACCAAAGGTTAAACTTGAGTGTACTTCTTTAGGAAATGTCCCCAGCTCCTCTCTCTCTCTCTCTCTCTCTCTCTCTCTCTCTCTCTCTCTCTCTCTCTCTCTCTCTCTGTGTGTGTGTGTGTGTGTGTGATAAAGGGTTTCTCTGTGTAGAATTGGCTGTCCTGGAACTTGCTCTGTAAACCAGGCTGGCCTTGATCTTAGAGATCCACCTGCCTCTGCCTCCTGAGTGCTGGGATGAAAGGCGTGGACCACCACTACCTAGCCCCCACCTCCTTTCTTCAACAGGGTCTTTCATTGGCTTAGAGCTCCCTGAGTAAGCGAGGCTGGCTGGCCAATGAGTACTAGGGGTCCATATGTCTTTGCCTCCCCAGTACAAGGATCATAAGTGAATATTGGAGCATTCAGGGAGAAGTAAGGGAAGGGGAAATTATATAATTATATTATAATTTCAAAAAATAAAATAAATAATTAAAGAAAATACATGCATGCCACTATGCCTGGCTTTTAAATATGAATACTGATAATCAAACTTCAATCCTCATGCTTGTATGGCAAGCACTTTACTGAATGAGCCATCTACTCAGTTCTGGTTAATTGATTTTTGAGCAGGAAAGGGCTTTGCCACCAGCAGGTTTGAGCCACTTCTGAGGCTAAGTCCTGGCACACCACTCGGCTATCCTCTTGGAGGACCCTTCTGAGGCATTTCACCCCATGGAATGCCACTCGGCATGAAAAAGGTGATCAGTGGCTGTACACAACAGTATGGGTGTGCCTCAGAGTAAACACACTGAGGAAAAGAAGCCAGAGAAATCCCTGCTGGAACAGGTTGATAACCATATGGAAAAGCAAACACACACACACACACACACACACACACAGTCACTTCGATCACCCCTCACAACATCTTCAGAAATGAACTCAAAATGGGTCATAGATTTTTCCTGATCAGCTGAGTCCTGGCATAGGACAGCATAGGTCCCAAAGTGCTGTGAGACAGAGGAAAGGGACGGGTACCTCCACCTCTGCACACAGTGCAAATTGCTGGGGAATTCTATGAAGCCAACTGTGGCCGCAGAGGCAGCAAGACCAGTGTTTGGTTCCTGGGGGTTTAGATCAGAAACAGAGGACCCTGGTGAGTCCACAGCAGTGGAGCTACCTTAGCAAAGAGCCAGCACGCCCCTGCAGCCAGGTTCTGAGCGCAGAGCCTCTACCACCATCAACAGGCTTCTGTCTACTCAGTTTCCCGAGAAACTTCAGGACAAAGGGTCTGGGGTTACTTTAGTCTTTAGAATCATAACTCAGTGTGGTTGTAGTCTGGGCAAGCCGAAACTGAGCAGATTTTAATGTAGATTTAAGATTCAAGTATGTAGATGAAAACAGACTTTCGTGGTCTTGGGCAAGGCAATAACACAGCCTGACGCATATCCTAAGAGTGAAAACCACAAATTGCACTTTATCAAAACAAAGAATCTCTGTTCCTCATAGATATTGTTAAGAGAAGAAAATAGAAGGCGGAGGCTCAGAGACGACGCTTGTTAATCCTGCATGCGATGAGGGCCTCAATATATAAAGAGAACTCAACGTCTTAATATGAAAACAACTGGATTTAACATCTGGGTAAAGAACCTGGACGGATAACGTACCCTGGAAGATATGGCAGATGAGCGTGGATTAACTATCTGTGAATAGACTTGGGAATAATATAACTGGGGAAATCCAATCTGAAGCCATAGCCTTACTTCCTCGTGGCTGTTTGCAAAAAAGCTCAGGGACATTTGATTTGAAACAGTCCCAACCTGGAAACAATCAAATGCCTTTCATTATTTTAATTAATTAATTAATTTTTGTTGTTGCAGTAACCAGGATTGAACTCAGAGCCAGTGAAGTACCTATCCTACCCTGAACCCCACGCCACCCGCAGGGATTCAAACATCTTTCAGTTAGGAACGGATAAAACACCCGCACCAAGGAATACTACTTATTGTGAAAAAGGGAATTAACTGTGGGACACCCAGGACGACATGGATGGATCCCAGAGAAATTATGTTGAGGGCAAGACACTAGGGAGTACACTTTTGTTTGTTTGTTTGTTTTCTGCAGCAGGGTTTCCTCTATGTAGCCCTGGCTGTCCTGGAACTCACTCTGTGGAGCAGGCTGGCCTAGAACTCAAGAGTTCTGCCTGTGTCTGCTCATGAGCGCTGGGATTAAAGATGTGAGCCACCACCGACTGTACATTCTATTAATATGACATTTTAGAAATGGTTGGACTTTTAAACTCGTGCGGCTCCTGATGTCCTTCACCAGGGGGTTGTAAGATGGTGGGTGGCCGAGGCCTCTCACGTCCCCTACCATCCCTGCCTGCTTGCTGCACGCTCTTCCTAGGGGCAGGGGACCCTTGAAACTTTGGGCAGGTGGGGACCCCAGCAAGATGGAAGTGCCGGACGGGGTGGTTTTATGTTCTCGCCACTACAGAGAAAGCAGTCCAGCGATTATAACGCAAGAGCAGCGGCTGGAACATTCGAAGAGAAATGTTGGGGTGACACGGCGCAGGCAGGAAAACCTAACAGCAGCGCCTCGGTCGCTGGGGCCCCCTTGCTCGTCGCCGCCCCAGGCAGCGCGACCCGGGCGGGCGGAGTCCTTGCGTGCCTCGGAAGCTCCCGCCCGAGGAGCTAACCATTTATGTCACACTGTGACAATTATTCTGCATAAAATTATCATTAAAAACCCTAATTTTTCAGCCTCCAACCCCGCCAGTGGCCTTTTAGCATTCTTCAGCGCCGCGTCTGCAGGCCGTGATCAGGGGCTCATTACCGCGGCCTGGCGCCCCGCGCGCTCGCAATCAAGCGCTAATTAACCCGCCCGGGGCCGCGCTGGCGGGGCGGGGTCGAGGAGGGTCCAGTGGCCCGTGGGGCGGGGTTCACGGCCTAGGGACGCGGGTCTGACCTCAGACTTAGATCCCAGCCTGGGCCAGGATCACTGGCCCAGCAACTGGGGTCAGAATCCCACGCCTGGGGCCAGGGTAAGAGTCTCTGATGTGGGGAGTAGGCTTAGGGTCCCGGGCCTGGAGACTAAGGGGCAGAAGGACGCCTGGCCTGGGGACTGGAGTCATAGTCCCAGCTTTGGGGACTAGGACACATAGACTCTGCCCTGAGACCAGATTCAGGAAATCTGCCGCTCGGGGACTTGGGAAGGACAGGGACCTGGCCTGGAGTGGGGAAAGGAGAGAGGCTGGACCAGGATCCAAGAACACGTGGCCAAGGGCCAGACTTGGGTATAGGCCCGAGCCTCCCCCACCCCAATCTGGGTCTCGGACCTGTCCGTGGCGCGTCTTGCTTACCCAATTGAGGCCGGCGTGCGGCACAGGTGCAGGGGGGCCAGGCCCTCTGCGCTGAGCAGATCTGGGTCTGCTCCGTGCTGGAGCAGCAGCCGGGCGCAGGCGGTGTGGCTCCCGAGACAGGCCTCGTGCAGGGCACCGCGACCTCCGGGGCTGGCATCGGGATCAGCTTTGCGACTAAGCAGGTGTCGCACGCAGGACACATGGCCGTGGGCCGCAGCGATGCACAGCGGTGTCGTGAGCTCCCGCTTGTACTCCAGGGTCCAGAGGCCTGGGAGGGGAGGGCACAGGCTGTGAGGCCAGGGGGGCAGATGGAGCGCGCCATTTGCTCTGGCTAGAGGGTGAAACCACGTTAGGTGAGGGTGAGGAGATTCACCTGAAGGTGTAGTTAAGGATGTGTACCCCAGACAGAGACACAAACGGAGTGGAAGACAGGCTCTGTGACAGAAGAAGAGAAGAGGCTGGGAGGGCTGCAGCTGAGGTAGATCCCGTTACAATGACGTAGGAGGGATTTCCCCGATGTGGGGCCACTAGGAATCTGCTAAGGTTTAGATTTAAAGGCTGGTCCAGGAGGAAGGCTAGGATGTATGTATGTAATCCCAGTGCAGAAGGGAATCTCTTACAAGTTCTGGTTTGGGGGTAAGCTTGAGCAAGAGGAGGCTGTGGAACTTTGCAGAATCTAACCTTTTGTCACCTACCCTTCATCATTGAAAGGAAACAAAACAGACGAATCACACCCCATCACCAAGGCTTGCTGAAGACAAGACCAGGGAAGAAGTTGAGTGTTCTTGGAAGAGGCTGCTATAGAATGGTGCTTTCATGCGGCTGCCCACAGTCCACACTGTCGTTTGTGCCTGTGTGCGTGTGCGTGTGTGTGTGTGTGTGTGTGTGTGTGTGTGTGTGCGCGCGCGCGCGCTCCAGTGCAGGGTTGTTCTTTCTTGATGGCTGAATGAGCAGATGCTGTGTGTGTGTGTGTGTGTGTGTGTGTGTGTGTGTGTGTGACTTTTTGAACACTTCTCTGCTTTCAGGAAGCCGGGGCAAGGTTGTTAGTGGCCAGGAGCACTCGTGGGAGGGGTGGGGGGAGATGTCCCTTGTGAATACCATCAAGGGACAGGCACTCGCCCGGCAGGAAGGCTTTCTGTAATGATGGACCGATCGATAAGGTGGCTGTAACGAGCTGTACAGGAGGCCCTCTTTGAGGCCACCTCCTCCCTGGGACCCATGCTGGGCTGTTTGGAAAGCCCACACTCATTAATTACCTACCTGCATGTGGCAGAGAATTCCAGCCTGCTGCTTGTCCCAAAGGCCTGTCCTGGAGCTCGCTGTTTGCTCAGTGGGGGAAGGGGGGGAGTGTCATCACTGGTGTGGAGTGACGGTAGTCACAGGGATTGGAGGTGGGGTCTGCCTGGGTTTGGACTCTTTTCCAGGGCAGACAGTCTGGTTTCAGGAATGTGGTGGTGGGTCTTCCTTGAGGAGAGTGGGCCCCCTGCCTTCCTCAGGGACCATACCTTGGACCCCTACTTTGGAGAATTTTCCAAGAGTCTGCCTACTTTTCCAGTCTTCCAAGTGCCCGGCTGCCTTCACCGCTTGCCTCTCAGTCCTGTACACCCACCCTGATGAGCCAAGACTCTCTAGGTTCTGGGCTGATGAGATTTCTTCATACCAACAAGAAAGCTTAACTTCTGGGCTGCAGAGATGGCTCAGAACCCACAAACAAAATCTGGGTATGGTGGTCCATGCTTGCAATTCCAGCACTGTGGAGATGGAGAAAGGAAGACCCTTGGGCCCACTGATGCCAGCCTAGTCCATGTCTGACAAGCCTCCAGCCAATGTCTCAAGAATCAATGTTCCCAGGGGCCATTTCTGCTCTGGGGAGCCAGGTAGCTGGGCTAAAGTGCAGGGAATCTGGGTTGCCTAAAGATCTTGCCTTCCTGGTCCTCACATACTAACTGGACTATCATTTCTTCTGTCCCCTGCTGATTTTGGAATTTGACAACATGAAAAAGGTTAAACTAACATCCTGGGGTGTGGGGCATGGGGCATGGGTCTTGCCAATTGAGCACATGAGTTCAGGGTTTGAAAAATAAACATGGCTTAGCATTCATGCAGCCGACATTCTTGGTCCGGGGCAGGTGAAGGAGGATGCCCAGAAAGGCTGCACCACTACGGTGATGCGGCTAGAGTAGGACTGACACCTTGCGGCCAGCAGGACTCAGCCTGTTACACACTGCATAGCTGTTTGGTAGTGGTTTGGGTTCAGGTCCCTCTTCTTGTGAGAGGTAGAAACAGAAATGTGCTGTTAAAGACCTGCCTTTCTAGGCTGGTGCATGCCTGTAATCCCTATCCTCAGGAAGGCAGAGGTAGGTGGATTTCTGTGAGTTTGAGGCCAGCCCAGTCTACAAAGTGAGTCCAGGACAGACAAGGCTACACAGAGAAACCCTGTTTTAAAAACAAACAAACAAACAAACAACAACAAAGAAAAACTACCTTTCCACATTCTTAGCCTGCTAGAACTCACAGGTTTTGGGACGCTGGCCACAGATCCTCAAATTCCTATGGTCTGGCAGAGCTGTGGTGGATTTCAACACAGAAACACAGGTGGGTGCTTAGTGGAGGCTTACTAGCCCCAAAGTCTGGCTATGTCTGATTGGCTCCGCACACAGCAGCCACATCTGAGTGGCAGGAGTGTGCCCTGACATACACAACAGAAGGATCTGTGAATTTATTTCTCCTTTCTTTCTTGTTTCCAGACTTCTCTAGGTTCCAAGAGGAGGGTCTGCTGGGACCTAGTATTCTTCCCTCTGTCGATGCTGTGTGGGCTGCAGGATGCCACGCCCACTGCCAAGTCACTGTGGTGTTCAGTGATTCATAGAAGGACCTCAAGCAGAGCTTCATGCCCAATTTCTAGCTCCCTGGCTGCCAAGATCAACAGCTAAACCAAGGCTTTGCTTTCAGGTCAAGAGATGCTTCCAATACTGCCAGATGGATGCTTCTCATCCATCACCCACCAGACCAAATTTGTTTACAGACCTCCTTTGGTTATAGACACTCCTGAAAGGCGGGGTCTGTGCACCCAACGTTGATGAAGGATGTACACATTCCCAGAGGGTTAGTAGAAGCATAAAGAGGCACAACTAAGCTTTAGAGGGACCAGGATACCTGATAGCCCAAAGGTGGCCAGGGATGTCACCTGCCATTCCATCTCTTCGTTCCTGATCTCAAACACCACATTGGCATCCTGGAAGAACTGGTCCATGAGGGACTGAATATGGTCCAGGTCTCCTGCAACCAGTGCAGCATGGAATGCAAGCTCAGGAGTCCCCGCTCTGACTTGAGGTTCTTTGTTCATCTTCTGGAAGATCTGCAGTTTTCTTCCACCTGGCTCTGGTCGTCGCTCCATCGCAGAGCAACTGAGTTGAGAACAGGTTCTTTAGCAGGGGAAGGTGGCCTGATGGAGAGTGGGCTATTTCTATTGTCATTAGTCAATTGTCCCCCACGGCAGTGTATTTATAACTCCTGTGGGCTCTGATGTGATAATGGTTACTTGATATGACCACGGTCACATGACCACTGAGATCTCACCATGCTCACTCACCCCTATGACTGTATAGATGCTAACGCCAAAGGAAAAAATGCTTCTGCCTGTCCTAGAGCTGCTCTGCACACAGCGGAGTCACAGACAGACACTAGGCACAAGCGTGTCATCTGACAGGCAGCACTTCTCTTCTTTTCTGTTTGGTCAGGTGAGCCAAGCCCTACCCAAGTCACAGAGACCTGTGCCAAGGTTCTAGAAAGCAGCCAAGGCCATGCAATGTTTGGCAGGGTTAGATTCTCTGAAAGGAGGTCACCAGCGGCCATTGTCCAGCGCTGTGACGGGAAAGCCTAAATCGCAGGGTAGCTCTCAGGACGCAGGAGATGCTGGGACCGTTAGAGGTCCACGAGGGGTTCTCGGGCCCAGGTAGAGCTGTTCCAGGAGAATCGATGTGTGCCGCAGGCAGTAGAGCTGGAGGGTAGTCCGAAGCGCAGACGGGAGAAGCAGAACTACAGGATTTGGTATTTGGTCTCTCTTCTGCCTCATCTTTCCTTGCTATGCCTCCCTGTGCCTCTCTTTTGGGCTGGGGATGTTTACTCTGTACTGTCTTGGAAGAATGAGACTTGCTTTCGTATTTTACAGAGGCTCACAATTAAGAGCTTGTCTTGAGGGCCAGCAAGATGGCTCAGCAGGTAAATGCCCTTTTTACAAGCCTGACAACCTACCCTGATCCTTGAAACCCACAGAAAGGTGCATGGAGGGAACTGACTCCACAGCTGACTTCTGACCCCCATCTACTCCCTGACACAACAAACACAATAATGAGAAATAAGAAAGAGAAAATGGACTTGTCTTGAGTCTCAGATGAGAATTTAAACTTTGGATTAATCTCTCTGTGTGTGTAGGTATGTGCATATATCTATTTAGTCGGTGTCTCTCAGCCGAATCTGGAGCTCACTCACTAATTTAGCTAGTCTAGCGAGCCAGCTCGCCCAGGCTGTTCCCTCTGCTTTCTAGTCTAGCGAGCCAGCTCACCCGGGCTGTGCCCTCTGCCTCTGCTTTCTCAGGACTGAGTAACAAGCAGCCCTCGTGCCTGCCTGGCCCTTCCATGGGCATCTGGGTATCTGAACTCAAGTCCTTGCCCTTGTGTGGCAAGTGCTTCGCCCATGGAGTCAGCTGCTCAGCCGTGGGCTTTGGAGCAGACTTGGGACTATTAAAGACCGTGGGGGAATTTCAGAAATGAACTAAATGCGCTTTGCATCATGAGACGAAAAGAAAGCTTTAGGCTCAGGGGTGGAATTGTGGTGGCTAATTTTCATTGTTAACTTGAGTAGACTTAGAATCTTCATGGATACAAACCTCTGGGCTTGACCCTTCCCGCACGTTTGATGAGGTAGGAAGGCTCACCCTTAGTGTGGGCAGCGCCATCCCACTGACTGGAGGCCTGGGCTGAGTAAAAAGGAGGAAGTGAGCTTAGCATCACCGGTGTTCATCTCTCTCTTCTTCCCCCGTGCTTCTGCAGCCCCAGCTGGAGGCAATTTTACACTCAGACCTTCCCTGAGACGTAGACTTTGCCTTCACATTTTGAGCCTAAATAAACCCTTCCTTTGCTAGGCTGGTTTTCATGACTGTTTGTCACAGCCATGGGAGAGACAGCACACCTGTCTTTGCTCTTGTGGCGGACCTGAGTGAGGGGCACAGGTAGGCATGCACAGGGTGACCCCAGGGCTGGAGCCTGCCTGTGATGCTCAGACTCACAACTGCTCCACAGAGGAGGGCCTCGGGTATGCTAGATGTATGACATGGCTGGCTGGTTGTCCATCAGGGATGCTGGTGAGAGACAGAGCGGTTGGAGGAAGGGCTTGGCATGAGCCACACCCCATATTCCAGCAGCAACATTGTTTCCAGTTCTTCCTTTCTCTGAGCGCAGGCCCTGCTCCGTCTTGTTTTGCTGAAATGAGTGATCATCAGATCCGCTTCTAGAGGGCTCCAGCGCAGCTGTAGGATGAGGCGACTTGAACTTGCCTCTCACTTTAAACTGGAGGATGTTTTCCAACCTGTTGTAATCTGTCATTGGGTGTTTTTTTTTTTTTTTTTTTAAAGAGGGTCAGAGGTGAGTCTCCAGATAAAACGAGTCTGCGCTCTAGGCTAAATTTAGCTTCCCATGTGTTTTAGTTCCCTCAATGTCTGAGTTGGAATTCAGTAGCTAGGGAGTAGAGCTTTTTAAAAATAGCTCCTGGCAGACAGTGCCATCTTTGCAACTGGGACACAAAGATGACTTCACAAGCCTGGGCTGAGTTCTTCTTTCCTGTTCTTCTTCCTCTTCTTCTTCTTCTTATTGTGTGAAAGGAGAAGCATTGCTGGCTGTTACATTAAACAGACAAACCAACTTGGAAACCAAACCATTCATTCCTTTAGTCACTGACTAAACACGAGTACGTTTCATGGTTTCTTGTGAGGTTTTGGAGGTTCAGAGATAAAAACTCCATCTGCAGGGATCACACAGGAAGAGAAATCAGTCCGGAAGACCCCAACAGGAGCTGTTTAGTCTTCCTCCTGAGGCTGTGGGAAATCCCTCAGGGATGTGACTGACACCCCTTTCTGGCCCAGTGCTCTGGTTTAGGCTCCTTTCCTGCTTGTAGACCTGGAGGCCAGGAGGAGCCCGTCAAGGTGACGAGGACAGTGTGGCTTAGGGTGTTCATTTCTACACCACACTGGGCTGAGGACAGGGCTGTGCGCACTCCAGCTGGAGGTGGGTGATGTTCTGAAGACTGCAGAGAAGCCGGTGAACTACAGTTCTTTTAAAAAGAAAATCTGGCTGAGTGATTCACAGTGGGGAATTACCTTGCAAGGTGCCCTAGAGCAGCACCTAACACTTCGGTTGCAGAACAGAATCACTTGAGGACCTATAAAAGCCAGGACCCAGTCTGAAGGCTCTTGTGCTGGAATGGGCTGCAGCCTGGGCACCGGGACACTGCAGGATGTTGCCTGGCCCCAGGCCTGCCCTGCATGTTCACTGATTGGTTATTTGTGTGAATACATGGAAGAGAAATGGGAAGCATGATATAATCAGGTTCCAGATGGTCTCAGCAGGCCAGAGCAATGGGCTGATCTAGTCAGTGTTCCAAGGCAGTGGGGAAAACTCCAGGCATATAGGATCTATAGATTTCTTGTGAACTGAGGGCCTCCGGCTGCTACTCGCCGTCTGGGTCCTCCTCTTAATGGCTTCTCTTTCCGTTGGCAAGCTCAGAGGGAGCTGGTGCCAAAGGCATGCTGATGTTTGCATCCAAATTTAGGTGACACAAAAGCAGTAAGTCATCTGGAGTTATTTTAAACCATCAAAGCATGTCTGTAGAGAAGCGGCATGTGACAGTGAAGGGTCACTTCAAGTGCGTTTACTCTGGTTTTCAGAACCTGAGTCCTTCCTGGAGTCCCCGAGCAACTGTGCTTTACTGCCCATGGTCTCCTTTGATCTCTGTTTGGGGGTTGTGTACATCCGCTCTGTCTCGTCACTGGCGCAGAGTAGGTTTGCTATTTCTTGGCTAGTGCCTTGTTCCCCAGTTGCTTACTAACTGGACATTTGTTGGCATTACACTGAAGGTGGGAGTGGGGTCATCACACCTCACAGAGCCTTAGGAGTCCTTTCTCTGCAGTTCCTCTTCCTGTGTCTCTGGCGTCACCATGAAATTCTTCCCTCTTTTCTCCAAGTGAGGTTCCATGGGTGCTATGACCTGGTCCTACCTAGATATGCTTCTGAATGCTGCTCTTTCCCGGAAAGAGGGTTGCTAATTAATTTAATCTGCCCCACATCAAATGATTTGATAATTTTATTTCTTTAGACAAACTAGCAAATGTACCACTTTGTTTGTATGGTAGATAGTGGCAGTGTGTTAAACCAATGGAATGGAAGAGCCTGCAGTGAATGAAGCAGCAGGGGATTCCCAGCTTTTTGTCTGAATGACAGAACGAGGAGTCATTTCTCCACCCTTGAGCCAAGTAACTGGACTTGAATATCATAGTGCAGAGAATATTATTTGGAGATTTAAATAATAATAAGCATGATACTTTGTGCACAGGAGCGACAAACCTTAGTCTTTCCTAACTGTCTTGTCATGGAGAGAGTTAATGAGAGGGTTTTTGTTTGCTTGTTTTTTGCCTCTGGATCCAGTGAGATGAAGGTGAACTCCACCTTGAGGTCACAACAGGGGCACAGGTGGAAGAATTTTGAGTGGTCCATCTTATCTTCATGGCATGCCAGGATCTTGGTCTCCTGTAAGTGAGCTGACAAATGGTCATTATTTCTCCTCCCCAAACAGCATCTGTATATTCTCACTCTTGGGACTTTGTGGAACCACCCAGCCATCTCTGAATGCTGGGCTGGTGGCTTGACGACAGGGCCAGCCTCTCTCTCCTCAGCGGCAATGTTCTATGTGTCCCAGGCAGGAGGAAGAACATTTGAAGCAGCAGGATACTCCCTTCATTTTCCCAAACTCTCAAGCTAAAACCGAGGCTTGGCTTCCTGGGCCACTGGAAAGTGTCTGGCTTCCCACTATGGTCAAGTGTCCAAGTAAGTGCAAGCTGAGGGGGCAAGAAGTCGTAGGCTTGTGGACAGACACATCAGGGTCTTTGCATGTTCTCTTAAACAGGCTCATTCGCATTGCTGATGCAGTCAGTGTGCCCCTTTTATCAGTGGCCATGTGGTGGTTTGAACGAGATGTTTCTCATAGGCTCAGGCATTAAAACAGTTCGT